GGCAGCAGCCTCACCTCCCTGGGGGCTCACCAGCTATGACAAGCGAAAAGCCTCCTGCCTGTTAAAAAGTACATGATTGCTGTATGCCTCTCTGCTTGATATATATTCTAGATGGATTGTGCTGGGGCTCCCCCATGACATTAAAGCATACCCAGTGCTTGCAAGATGATGTTGGTGCTGTTTAGACCCTGATTCCAATGCTGCATCCCAGGAGGGATAAAACCATACTGCAGAGTGGCTTCAGCAGATTGTTGCATCCTTTACATTCCTGTGTGAAGTACCAATGTAAAACATCAGACTGCTGACAGGTGTAATAGTTGTTTTATATACACACGCTTACCCCCGTGCTGGCTAGTGTAAATTACCACACCTCCACCACAGTCAGTGGAGTTATGTTGATTTGTATCTGCTGAAGATTGCAGCCACAGTGCTTGCCTCTATTTTCGTACATGTTCATATACTTCAGTTTTCAACAGACTTCAGCTGTCCAGAATAAGATTGTGTCCTCCATCTGTTTTTATTTCCAACAAATATCTTTGCAGTTATTCAGTGACAAATGTGAAATTATTCTATATCCTCAGTGACATTGAGATAATTGAATTTATATTGCACATATGCTTGTTTACACATGCAAGAGCTCACAGTCATTATTACTGGTGCTGATTTATGTTATTGCCATCCAAAGCTGCATGCGTTTATGTACATCATTCATTTTAAAATATTTCAGAAATAAATCATCACATAACAAACAAAGAAATCAGATGAGTATCCTATTATTCCCCTCATCTCTAGCTATTCAGTCAAGCTACCAACCTTCAAATCCTTTTTTATCACTTCAGAAGTTATATTCTTGCACATTGAGCTCAACAGTTAAAGTTATTTTGGACAAATGTATAGGAGCAAGTTGCAATTTGAGGAAAATCTACAACAGACTTTGGGAAGTTAAGGAACCCTGAAGTTGACACACTGGAGAATTAACATTAAACAGCATAGTTTTTAACAAATCATATCTGAGATCAGTATTTTAGAATTCAGACCAAAGCGTTGCTTATGTGCAAACTGATCCCAACATAGTAAGGCACCAGAAAGCAGCCAGGTTTTTCCCAAGAGGATTTTTCTGAATTAATTCTGTAACAGCCATCTAAACCTTCTTGCCAAGCTCATCTACTTTCTGGACCACTTGCTTCCCTGTGAGGTTTTTTTTTTTCTGTCATGCCTGCCTACCTTAGGTTGTCTTACTCCTGGATCAGGAAGAACATTAGCTCTGATACTCACTTTCTCAGGCAGTAAGGCTAAGTTTTGCCATGCTATTCTTTAAAGGTTTTATCATTTAGGTACTAGCTATGCAAAACATGACATCTCATAATTTATTTCCCTCTGCAAAAGGACACTTAATGGTTTAACAAAACAGTGCCATTATTGTTTAGACAGAGTAGCCCTGACTTTGTGAGTAATTGAACTCAATAGGAGCAGGTCACCAGGTGATTTAAATCACAGATATCTCACTAAAGTCAGCATAGTCAGTGCTGCCAAGTTAAACCCACTAATATGAGGCCAAATCTGCACCAGACTTATACAGCACATCTGGGCCTAAAGTCAATGTTTCCAACACCCAAATGATTAGGCCGTCAGAGAGACACTTTTAAGTTTTTTGAATGCTGATTGATCTTTGGTACCAAGCTACTCAGCCTGGACCTACACCAGGAACTTCACAATCCCCAAATAAGCCAGCTATGAGGTTTAGACTGGTTCAGAGTTAGGCAAGAGCTGAGGGGGGAAATTCTGTATTGCAGTTCAGAGAGCTTGACTTTACCTGACTTCTGCTGCTGGCCTCCAGGTCTGTGCTGCATCTCCTTGCTAGCTCCCACAGTTCCCATGGAGCTGGGAACATTTCAGCTTCACCCCTCTACATGCTTGAGGACAAAACTTTGCTCGTGTCCCAGTTACACAGTATTCTGAGAGTGGCAGAAGTGGCGATTGCATGTGAACTCAGCAAAAGAGTGAATTCTCTCCATCAGGAGTAAAAATGGCAAAAAATGGACCCTTCTTGCTGAATAACTCATACGAAGAATCCATTTGCATATGTTTTGCATTCTTGGCTATAAATTTTTAAATATTTTAAAGGTTCAGGAAACCTGGGAGGATTTATAACATGAATCCCTCTGAACTGTGATCTAAGAGTTACTTCTCCCTTAAGAATAATGATTTATTAGGTCTAAGCAGTTTTAGCATTATTATTTTTAATCTACTGGGGTTTTCAATGCAGTTACTTTCGAAGGAAATAAAACCAGATGGTAATTGTAGATTAGGGAAAAAGAATGAGCTCCCAATTAATTATTAAAATTGACTGTTAATTTTAGAAACTTGCAGCAAATTGTTTGTAAAAGAAAATTTAAAGATACAGGGACATCCTATATTATATTATTTCTCAAATTTCCTATTCACAAGCTGTAAAGAACATTTTCGAGAAGTCACACTGAAAAAGTAAATGACACTAGATATATACTGAATTACATCAAAGATCTGTTCCCCTTCCTTATATATGCACACCATTCACAAATGCTAACCCTATAAGATGCTGTATATCAATATGTTTTTGTGTAATGTAGGTATATATCTGTGTTTCAGTCTGAAAGCAGTGTGAGCTGTTTTCCACTTCTTTGGGTTTTTTTTAGGATTAAAAAAATCCATTCCTTACTGTGATGAATTAAAATACTTCAAAAGTTTTGGGCTTTGTATGAATGAGAAAGTAATATCAGAGCTGCAAAAATGTGCAAACTAGCTCCTAACTTCATGGCACTTCCTGGGAGTCAAAAATACAGCAGGAAGCTGTGTGTTTAATGTCACTGGGTGAAGATAAAATGTCTTGCTGCAAAGAGAGTAGTTTCAGTAGAAACTATTTATCATACCTAGACCATGGAGCAACCAGCCACTCTGCCCTTCCATGGCTTCCTTTCTAGTTCATGTACATGGATCCTTTCTACTGGTGGTGAAAATGTACATTCTCTTTCCAAGTTTGTTATGTCACTGCTCTTCATTAAAACAGCGAATCAATATATGTGATGACAGGGAAGGCCAGGTTAGAATAAGTTTAATATCAAAGTTCTGTTTTACTTTCAGAAAAGGCTGCATAAAATATATTCCCCCTTCCAAACTGATCCATTCCCTCTGCATGTTCAGTCAGTTCTAATGCCTTCAGTGACAAACTGTGATTACAGCCACATTTTTCTCCCCTTAGCTCTGCATACTCAACGCTGCAAATGACAAAGGGATGCAGCTCCAAACTGTGCACATCAGCAAGGGGGTTCCTAATGTCCCAGACATACTCTTATGAAACTGAAGGTTTTATACCTTGAAGACTGCTGTTTCTGAGGTCATAACTTCAGCTGAAGTGTAATGACTGGGACAATGCAAAGCATGAGAAGACTTGAAACATGCTCTCAGAGTACAGAGTAGGCTTCACAGAAAGAAAGTGATGAAGAAGTGAAGAAGTGGTGATGAGAAAGAAACATAAGAATATTTGCAGTGGGATCAATATAAGGCCCTGCTGTAATATGTTTAGAGACTTGCTTCTACCATGGCATTGTGCTACATGTCAATCATCCAGTGGATCAGCAGGCACTTGTCACCTAACAGCAACATTAAGGGGAGAAAACCAACCTTAATTAACAAACCAAAAAAAATACTAAATCCCTAAATATTAAACATACATCAAATTTGGCAACTCATTTGACTGCCTAAGGCAGTTGGTTTATAGAGTCATGTTCATTCCACTTAATATTATTAACAATTCCCAGGGAAGTACTGCATAGTTACAGTAGCTAGTACATTAATCTTTATCATATGTGCAAGAGTGGGAGCTTGCAACAGGATTATGAAAACAGAGTGCTTATTGTTTTATTTCCAAACTGATCTCTGTGCAGAAAATAGTGATCTAATGAGGCTACTTACTAACTGACTACTAACTTCCCTGGGGCTAGAAATGCTCTCCCATCAAGTGCTGGGACAAATGCTCCTGTGAGAGTTTTGAGCTCTCTGCCTTTGAGCTGTTGCTTCATCTCTTCCAATCAATGTAATTGGGTCACAGGATGCAGATACCTCATATTCCAGTTTTAAACATGCTGTGGGTTAAATTAATGATTGTGCATGGAAATCGTTCTAAAAGCACAAGGCATCTTCCCCACAGATTCCTTTTGCCTTTGCTCATGAATATTGTGGGGTTTCCTCTAAAAAGCAAGTGACTGTCTGGATGTACACTCTTTCAAATAGAACAAACCCACTAGTTCTTCCTCTTTCAAGTGAAAGCAAAGCTGAAAGCGCTCCCATTGTGTTCATATGCTCAAAGTCTACTTTGTATATAAGAATATAAGAGCAGCCAGTCCTGGGTCCATCTAGCCCAGTGCCTATCTCCAGCAGTGATCAGCAGTGGATGGCTAAGGCAAAGAATAAGAGCAGGGCAAGGATGTAGTCATTCTTTCCCAAATATTACCCCAGTCTTCAGTGATTTGTGGAATAGGGACTTCCTGAGCCAGAGGTCATGACTTCATGTTTAAAAGCCCTTAATGGATTTTTCTTCCATGGATACATCCAACAATATTCTGAAGCCTGAATTCCTGTGGAAATGAATTCTACAGCTTCACTAAATATTTTGTGAAGAAGTATGTCCTTTGATTTGATTCAAAGCTAGCCCCTAGTGGGTTTCATTTCTCCTACTCCTTGAACTGGAAATGATATTGAGATATTGTTCCAATTTATCTTCCTCATGCTGCTCATTATTATGAAAAATTATAAATGATGAAAAAAGCACCCCACTATTTTATCTACACTTTTTCATCTCTTTTTTTTCCATGCTAAAGAATCCTACTCTGTTTAGCCATTTCTTATGCAAAAGTTGTTCCATATCTTTATTATTCATCACCCAGTTCTTTGCTGTACAAGATCCTTCAGTAACAGAGACAAGAGAGATGTCCAAAGCAAAGACACCAAGGCAGTTAGCTGACTTTAATCCACCACTTCCCAGGAATTATACTCCACAATGTACAGGGCTAGTAGAAGAAGAAATGCACTTTGCTGGGACATTTAGTTGGGCTTACTGTGTCGATAAGAGCAGTTGAGTGTGAATTTGGTTGCCAAGGCCATTAGGTCACCCAAAGTCTTCCAAGTATAGCTTAGCATGGGTCTTATGAGGCTCATACAGAAAGTGATTTTCAGGACCTAACTTAATGAGAGAAGTTCTCCTCTCCCATCCTTTCCACAATGCCAGCTAAAGCTTACAGATCCCTAAAACAAAAGAGGGGTGATAGTTTGTGAAGTAGGCAGATGGCCCGTGGAGCTCCTTGTCAAAGGACATTATGGAAGGTTGTTCTAGAAATTTATAGGTGTTCTAGGAGACACTGTGAAAGTTCAAGGAGGACAAATTCATCCTAAAAGCACAGGCACCACATTGCTGGGGAAGTCCCTGAATTTAAAACGCTTGGGAGAGGGGCTGGGAGAGTGCAGGGGTGAAGCTTGTCCTCTTTTTATATTCTTCACTAGACGTTTGCTGCGGCCACTGCTGGTGACAGCAGCCTGAGCTAGCTGTACCTCTAGTGTGACCCAGACGAACTTCTCTGATAAACCCAGGCTGCCACGTTCGTTAAGGCAGCCCATCTATAACACACGGCCCATCAAGACCACCCGTTCCGTGGCTGCGGTCAATGCCACAGGAGGTAGCTGCTCTGCCCCAGTTTCGCCGGGCAAGGGGCGACGCGAGGAAAAAAAGGCGGCCAGGACCGTGCCACCAGGTGAAAGCCCGCGCTGCTAAGCTGGCAGGGGCCGGCTGTGCTGCTGCTTTCCCGGCTGCTGGCGGCCCGCAGCTCCTTTGTCACCACTCCCTGGGCGGTGGCGGTGCGCCCAGCCCGCAGCCGGGGAGCGCCGGGAGCGCCGGGAGGCGGCAGCCGGGCGGGCGGCAGGAGGGCTTAGGACCCAGGGGGACGGCAGCCGCCGAGTGGAAGGACCTCGGCTTTGGTGCACACGCCTCCCACCAAAAAAAAAAATAAAAAAATCCTAGCCCCGTGGAGCTGGCGCTCGCTCATTCACAGTTTTCTAGAGAGATCTGAGCCTGAACCTGGGAGCCGGGAGATCTTTCTCACCCACCCAGCTCAACGGCAAGGACACCTACGGGGGGGGGGACCCATCCCACGCAGCCCCCCGCCGCCCCACGGCAGGCTGCCTGGCGCTGTGCAGGTATTTGGATTTGCCTTTTCTCGGGGTGCAGCAGGGCGGCTCTCCGCGCTCCCCGTCCCTCCCCCGCGCCGCCGGGCCCCGGCTGCGGCGTTTCAGCACCGGCGGGCGGACAGCTCCGGCCGCAGCCCCGCCGCGCTGCGGCCGGCGGCCGCTCCCTGCCCGGCCTCCTGCCTGCTGCCTCCTGCCCGCCCTGCCCGCCCTGC